GAATCTCTCTCTCTCTCTCTCTCTCTCTCTCTCTCTCTCTCTCTCTCTCTCTGTCTCTCTCTCTTTCTCTCCCTTACCATACATTGAAAATTAATAATATGGCTAGTAGTGAGGACCTCCTGTTTTTTAGCTTGAAAAAGTATAAAACAACTTAGTTGACTTCAAATAAAAAGTTTTAAATTAAGAAAACATTTAAATTAGAATTGTCTTAATTCAGGAAAAAAAAAGACTAAGATGAGTGTAAGAACTCTTATTAAAAGGGTTTCATTAAGCAACTTGTAAAGAAACATGTGAATGCAATAGACAATCATCAAATATAACTGGTTTTATCTGGTCCTGTTTGAAGGGCGGGGGTGAGACTAACTGATTTCTTGTAGACGACAGGCATTGATAAGTAAAGGATGTTTGAACTGTCCCTAGAGGAACCAGGAAGTAAACAGACTAGTGTATTACAGATAGAGCCACCATATACTTTGCTATATAAACTAGGACACTTTTAAGAGTAAAAGGGGGCGCTATCAGTAATTACGCAGGACAGCAGGCATAAAGCAGGAGTGTCCCTGGTAAACCAGGACCTATGTCACTTAGTGATAAACCATCCTCCCCAAGGTGAATACAAGGACAAAGTCAAATCATCCACAACAAGATTCTGAAATGTAGCCTGCCTTTCTGTACTGAGGCCGGTCACATCACTATTGGACCAAGCAAATGTGGAGAGTGGCCGATTGCGGAAACCCTGGCAGGCTATTGTGGGGTGAGCTGCAGGGGGCAACTTCAGGCAGGAGGGACAGAGAAATGCTCCCAGGTCTCCCTCTCTGAAGTGAAGTGCCAACCATGTGCCCCGGTTGCTGTCTGCTAAGCCACAGTACCAGACACGCCAGCCTGGTGCGTCAAGTGGATAGATGAGTGGCTGCGAATAAAAGCTTCAGGCCAATGTCAAGTCTACCAAATAGAGTTGCAAACAGCTCCCAGTTCTGCAAGCAAAGGCTACAGACATTAATCAAAGAGCAATCCTCCAATGTCGGCAGTGTGGGGAAGACCGGCCACTTGTCACGCTTCGGCGTCCTCGCCACAGTTCCACACATGGAGAGTAATTACAGTTCGTGGTGTCATCTGAGAGTTATGATGGCAAGGGAAGAACTTGTCGACGAGCTGGATGGAGAGGATTATGTGCACCCACGTGTAGAGATACAATTTACCTCTCGCCGTTTATATTTACTCCCAGAATCAGAGGGAATCACTTAAAAATACTTTCCCTTTGAGGTTTTCTGTCTCAGGGTGTATATAAAATGCCTTACTCCCAGGCCTGACTGCCTTATCTCCAGCTCCTCTTTATGAAAGCATATTACAGCCTTCCTAAACGGTTTGCCAGGGATAAATCAAGGTTCACAAGAATCACATATGATTAGGATGGTTCCAAATTCCGAATACTATAAGCCGGTAGCATTTGAAGGCCGGGGGAACTGTCCACTCCTGGGAAAGATTCTGTAACACTTCAGATGGGAAGTCAAATCCCCATCATTAGGGGGGGGAGGGGGGGGGTGCGGGGGGGGCGGGTATCATAGTCTTGCCATCAGTTCTGTCCTGGTCCTCAGGTGTGTGAGGTCCTGGGCAGGGAATGTCAATACAGGCTGGGTGTGGCCTTCCTTGATTGAACCTTGGCCTTCGTAAAGTGTCATTGGCTCTTTTGATTGGTCTGACATAAACAGTGCTGGTTTTTCCAATAAAAAAAATCCTTTTTTTGCCATTCTTGTGTAGATAGTTATAAAAGGATCGAAATAGAAGTTATCTTTTTTTTATGGAAGGGCAAGAAGCACAAAGTAGTTATTTATATGCCCTTTATTGACCTTTTGGGTGTTTTTACTTTAAGAAAAACAACCAACCATATATAATTGCCCCTAAAAGAAATGATGTCAAGTGTTGGCATTGCTTTTATGTTTTGCAAGATCAAGAATAGGATGGGCCTAACATTCTCCTTTATTGGTTATAAATCCATTTTCAATATATGTTATGCATTTATTTTATAAAGCTCTATGGTATTAATTCACAAAATAATCCTTTAACTGGCATTATTCACTGAGGCCTCGGATATAATGAATACATTTAAAACCAGTCATGTGATCACATTAATATTTTGAACGAAATACTAGTAGTAGACATAGACACCAATACATCGTTATTGCCATGGTGCTAATCCAGCCTTGGAACAAAGTATAAATCCCACAATTAGTTCACAACTGTTTTCCAGCACAGACTTTTCTCAGTAAATACTCAACAAGGATTTGAAAAATTAACTATTTCCTAACTTCTGACAAAGCCGTCTCTTATGGAGAAGTAGTAATTTTTGAGGTCAGATGAAGTTTATGACATTTTTCCTCTCATTCTGAATAGTTGAGTACTGATCAGCATCTAAATCATGTTCTTTCCAGAGAAGAGAATCTTTCTGAAATCTGTTCAGTCCTCTTGGCCAAATAGATACACCGACATATGTAATTTCCTACTTTTCAGAATGGTAATGGTGGTATTTCAAGTAGAGTCCCAACCCTGGGTGGTATGGGGAATGCCTCCTGACATGTGCTTATTGCCAGAGCCTGGCCCTGCTGCTTAGGGGGAGATTCTTGTGGCTTCATTTGGGATGGTTCCCATTTGCAAACATTTAACAATTTTTTGGCAGTTTAAAGTTTCAATTTTGGCTTTGATTGTGTCAAGCTTCTCTTTTTTTGTTTGTTGTTTGTAGTTTGAATTTTTACATTACGTCCTTGGACTCAAAGGTGAGATAGATCCAAAAGGTAGTTATCTGCAAAACGTCCTGACATGTCCTTATTGCCAGAGCCTGGCCCTGCTGCTTAGGGGGAGATTCTTGTGGCTTCATTTTATTCTATTGGGATGGTCCCCATTTGCAAACATTTAACAATTTTTTGGCAGTTTGAAGTTTCAATTTTGGCTTTGATTGTGTCAAGCTTCTCTTTTTTTTGTTTGTTTGTTTTGTTAGTTTTAAATTTTTACATTACATCCTTGGACTCAAAGTTGAGATTAGATCCAAAAGGTAGTTTATCTATAATCAGGAAACCAATCTTTGTTGATCCTGCAGGTTACATTAAAATGATGCGATATCCAGACTTTCTCCGAGGACAGTGGCCAACATGCTATGGCTAGCTTCCCATGATTAGAGCATCTAACACAGCTGTCCAGGGTGCAGGACCCAACGTTGGCGCTTGCGTAGAAGTGTAAATAGCAGTCAACTGATTAATGACATAATGAGAATTTTTATAGGCACTTCTACTTCTAAAACCAGATTGCTCTCTGAACACTTGAGACAAAGCTTCTCTCACTCTCTGAATTGCCCAGTACACAAGTTCATTTTTCACTATTGATTTTCTCTACTGTGCATCTTGAAACCTTCAAGATCTCTTGACCTACTCAAAAAAATCTGTCAGTTTAAAAAGAAGAGTTCTTCAAAAGAATGCTTGAAAAATCAGTAAAGATAACAAAATAGCTCTTCCCCAACTATTAGCAGGGCAGCTTAACTGGACATTTTGATTAGATTTCGAGGAGAGAATACAACCACGAACATTTACAAGAAGAGGTTTCATATAGTGAAGCTTCTGAGTGTGAATGCTCCTCTTATAGGCATCCCCAGGGAGGTGTGAGGTTTCATCTAGTGATGGGAATTGGGAGTTAAATCAGAGGAATAATCAGAACCGCCTCTGGTAGCAGAGTGAGGCGACACAGAGCAGGAGAAAAAGCACTGGAACAGGCTCAGAAGACCCCTCTGCCCTGCCAGGAAGGAGGGCCATCCTCTCTGGGCTTGTGTCATTTATCGATAAAAACAAAGGGATTCGACTAAGAGTCTCCCCAACTCTAAAATTCACTGCTTCTATATCCAAGACGACGTATACATTTTAACAAGGAAACCACATTAAGAGAAAACAATGAAAGCAAAATAAACACTTCTTTCTACTAGAAAAAACTTGAGGAATGTAAAATAAACAATTTTTTTTCTTAAGACCCATCTTAATTTCCTCTCCCACCACCATTATTATTGAAAAGTAAAAAAAAAAGATTGTCTTAAGGATTAAATACTCCATTTAGCTTTTTAATCATTCCTTTCTTCACCCCTGAAATATTGTCCCATTTACAGAAAACAGTGTCAGAAGCACTTTATTCATGGAAATTCCTTCGGTGCACGTCCAAGTAAAACAAAAACATCATTAATATCAGTGACATAAAACAAAAAATATCTAAAACCAACCAAACAAAACCACTTCTATGTCCCGAGGACTGACCAAACAGAATTGAAGTGAACGGAGACATTTTCACACGGCACTTGGAGTGTAGATTTATTTGGGTTTAAGAATCTCCTTAAACAAATTACATCAACCTCACTCCATTCCCTTCCTTAATAAAAATTATGACTGGACAAACATCAGACTTCTAGAATTCTAAAAAGAATAGAAAAGTAAAAATCGATTTCCTAAGGAAATCCCTCTCCTAAACCTTACATAGTTTTGCTGCTTCTGTGAAATCATTCTCTTTGGAGTAACTGGGTAGCATAGTGTTCTGATTTTGTTTTTAAAGTGGATTCATACAAGGGCACTGAATTCGAACTTCAGCTGATGGATGGAGCATGAACTTTTAGGAAAAATAAGTTACTTCTGCCCGAAAAGGAAAATGGCCGGTGCAAGAATGGAAACACTGGAAGTCTGTTTCATGATGTAATTTAAGTCTTACATTACAGAGCACACCTTCATTTAAAAAACAACAACGAGAAAACAGAATGGTATGAGCACTCTAAAATCAGCTGCAGCACTTTTAAGGGTTAAACCTGCTTAACCCATTCTTAGTCAGAGAATGGCACCAAAGAGTCCAGCTCACCCGTTCAGCGTGGCTAGTTCTACACCTGCGGGATCTTCAGGTTGTCAGAGCAGTCATGCACTCCATTTCCACCCCCCTCCCACCCGAATGATAGGATCCATTCATAGCTACTCACTACTGCAGGATTTGACCTGAGAAATGCTAGGATTTATTAACTCAGCAGTTGTTTTGAAACATCCCTAAATAATCTTCCCCCTTGGCCAGCAAGGGAACTGCTAGTCTCAAGTTCTCAGAAGCAGCTGGTGAGGTTCTCCGCCAAGTTCTTCAGATGCAGGAAGTTCTCCAGGACAACCTACTTTGACATGGCATTGACGGGCCTTTAAACCAGGCTTCCTAGATCGAGGAAATGTTATTCCCGATGCCTTCCACCCCGGTGCTGGAGAAATTTTAGTTTTTTTTTAGAATCTGGAGGTCATCACTCCTTCTTCTTTCCTTCTAGGAGCTGGCATGGTGGTTAAATTTTTCTAAAACAGTCATATTAATATGTTCAAAAATCCACTGCTGAGTCTCAGATAGGGGGTCACATCTGGCCATGAAAATCTTCTTCTCTGCGGGGTTGCAATCCATGCAGCTGTTGCTCACAGGATGGAATAACGTTCTGTCCTGGAGAGATCAGAAAGAAACGACTGACATAATATATGGCGACTGGTTAGAACCCAAAATATACAGAGGGAGCAAAATATCCCCATTTATATTTCAGTCTATACTCCTGGTGTACAAAATAGATTATCTCCCCAAATCAAACAAAAGCAGCTTGAGTTGCACATGGAACATGGTTTCCTGGGATCCATCTGTACTAAGTAAGGCCTCCAAGCAGGTCCAATCAGAAGCAAAGAATTCATTCATTCAGTGAGACTTTTAAAAAAGCAGTCCATCATTTTTTACTCTGTGGTAGACATTTTGCTTCTTGCTTGGGTTTTGAAGATAGTAAGCATGTGAGGTTGCTTATCAAGTAGTTAATAACCTAGTTATCTGGGGAGAGGCATGTATACAAAAATGACAATTTTGTCTATAAACAGAAACACACACACACACAACTAGAACAGTCAGAATTTTTCCTACCCTGTACTGAGCCTCTAACTGGAAGGGGAACTACAAAAGAAACAGGAACCAAAATGAGGTAGGTGCTCAGTTGCCTTAATCAGAAAATGAATATGGGGAAGGGGATAAGAGACACACAGGCAATATCTCAACCTACAAACTCAAATTTGTTAGCACTTGAACTTCAGTCTCTTCTCAATCCCTTTAGTGTCATTCCTGTGGTGCAATTCTCATTGCTTTCTGTAAAACGGAGGAGGCAGTGTTCACTTTAAAAAAAAAAGGTTGCTAAGTACATGATAAAGATAACAGCCCTCTGAATGAAAGGTACTAGCAGGGGGCACGAAAGCGTAAGAGGCAAGCAAGCTCACTATCTGACTGGCTTTATTAACACACACCCCCTTTTATTGTGCAAGTAGAAAGAGGAAGTTAATTTAAGAGAAAAGGATCCCTTCTTAAGTAGCAATAAAACTTTTGTCTCTTATAATGTCTATGCTAAAAAAGAAAATGCCAATAACATGTAAAAGCTTCCCCAAATCACTGCTTAAATTTGAGGGTCAAATAATGTTGTCTTATTTACCTCAGGAAATGTTCAGAGGCTCTGACTGTGTTCTTTCACTGGGGAATATTAGACCTGCAATGCTTTTGGAATCTAAGTGTTTCCCAGGCACCCTGTGTAAACATTGCTGGATTGCTCCTGGATGTTAAGACTCCACCAACCAATATTTGATGTTCTTTTAGGGCCCGGATGTTTGCATAGTTAGGCACGGTGTGAAGGGAGGAAGAATAAGAAAGGAGAAAGGCAGCTGCCTGCAATTTAGTTTTCATGTTTCTAGTTTCAATGTAAAGAAAGAGCTGTGCCTAATACAAAGGCTCATTCTTCTGTTCTCTTTACGGGGTTCCTGAGTCTACTGTGGATTTTACTTTTCTTACACAAAGAACGCTCCTGAGGCCTCCTTCCCACTCCTACTCCCCCCGCTCCCCACCCCACCAACTGGGCTGCTGTTTGACTTCAGGGGAGGCTCTGAGGAACTGTCTCCTACTCTGAGTGGAGGGAGCAGATTCTAGGAGGAAGGGGAGTGCCCTGCAGCTCACCCCACATCCCTCTCTCTTGGGGTCCATCCTTGCCATCAAGTGGCTATCCCTTCTGATAGCCACTGCAGCTCCCTGGGCAGCAGTGTCCTTCACCCCCTTGCTTTCATCCTTCCCAGCATCTCTCATGCTCAGTCTCTTGCCAGATTAGCAGCATGGGGGTAATGTATTTAGATCTGCTTTTCACAGAGCATTCTCAAGCTGTTAAAATGCATGAAAATTAATTCTATGGACCTGCTAAATTATAATTCACTCCATTCCAGGTATAAGTACTACCTGCCCCCAACTATCTGTATTTCTTCCTATTGTCACCTTTATCAATAGCTCAAGTGGGGACCCCCATATGTTCGCAGTTTCTCCCCCAAAACACATATTTCCATGAAAGCTTAATCAAGTACCTGTTTTTATTCTCTTTCCTTTACTGGTTTGTGCACCTTGGCGTGGATGCACAAGCCAAACTAGATTTTATGAACATTTTATTTTCTCCAACCTTATTTTCTGAGCCATAAGGTGATTATATTTTTCCCAAATCTCAAATTGGAACACATGCTCTGACAAATACAGGTATACGCATGGGGCCAACCAGGAAGGATATGCAAATTCAGCACTACCCTGGAAAATCCAGAATGTGTGTTCTGCGATTGCACTTCATGTTCTCCTGAAAGCTGAATTCCCTAAATCTATCTATGTCTGAGAAACTTCATCAGTAAAATGGGGGGAGGGGGTGTGGATAAGATCAATCTCGAAGGCCTCTCCCAGCCATAAAATTGAATGATGTACATTTTATGGCAAAGGTCAATCATGACAGAGACAAATGAAGGGACATCAAACCAGAGACTATCAGCATAAGCAGTGCACCAACAGATTGGTTGCTCTCTGGTTACAGACCGAGTTCTGTTCACCCTTGTCTGTGGAGTATCCAGTAGGTCCTAGAGGTCAAGCTTCTGGAAGCATCTTCAGCCTTCCCACGGCATGCATTATCCACGTTTGACCTTGGGGGCTACATAATTGTCATCTTTATGTTTCTACTCAGCTAAGCTTTTCGATTATTAAATGTCTTTACTGATGCTTTTCCCGCTGGAATTAAGTCAGTGGGTTGAGTAATTGTTGGTGAATATGGTCTCTTGCTCTATGACAGCTTTTTATTCCTCTACCCTTCATGGCCTCGGTCATGACAACAGATGGCTGTAACCAAACTGAATACAGTTTTTTCTTTGGAATAGGCTTCTCAGTGCTTTGTCTAGTCTGTCATTCACAACAATCCTCCTTAAGGGCTCTTTAAAACTGGAATGTTCTTTGCTCAGTCCCAGGGGATGGTCATAGCATATATCTTGCTGTTCAAAATGTAATTGCAACAAACTTCCTCTCCCGTACTCCTTCCACCTTCCCTGACTGCTTCCTCCCTTGCTTTTATTTGTTTTTGTTTTTGCTAAGAAATTGGAAATTCTTGAGCAGGAAATGAAAAAAGTTCGTGTCCAGGTTTATAGACCTGCCCTTCAGAATCAAAGCAGGTCAGTCAGTCCACGCTGTGAAAGGGGGCGGGGTGGGTGGGATTTTTCAGGTAGCTCATTTGAGAGGGGCACTTCTTCCAAGCAGGCCTGCGATTTGGTTGGCTTCTGTGTTATACTTGGTGGCATTTGCAGGCCAGCATTAAATTTTATTACATTTCATACTTCCATAGGGTCTGAACTATGAAAGAATGAGTACATTGTAGGAAACATTCCACACTGTGTTCAGATGAATAAAAGAACCAGACACCACAGATGCAAAGACAATAAAACAGGTGGGTAAGTTCATAATGCATAGGAAGATGAGTCTGAGACTAAAACTCCCACACTATGGGAGGGGAAGCAACCTAGTCAAGGGCTGGGATTTGGTTCCACAGGGCATTTGGGTCAAATTCCAGTCATGCCCCTTACTTGTTGTGTGACCTTGGACAGCTATTTAATTCTCTGAACCTTAGCTTCCTCATCTGTAAAATACAGACATGGTATCTATTTCACAAGTTTGTTGGAAGGATAAGAGTTAATATATGTAAACTCGCTGGCACAATACCCTACATGTAATAACTAAGTAATAGTGATTCCATTCTCTAATTTATTTTTAGCCAAGGAGCATTCCCCAATTCTAAAAATCAAATGTACTAACCATCTGGTCTGAGACTAGCTATTCAAGACCTAATTACGATTTCTGAAGCCCTGGCAAAATAAAATTTGCAAACATTAAGACCTGCCTCAACCAGTTATCCAACTTGATATACCAGAACCTTCTGTGTTAAGCAAAAGAACTTATGGAATAAAGGTCATTGACGGTTTTAGAATGAGCTCTTCTGTGTAATTTGGTCAATTTGTATGTGATCTATGCATTTAGGTCCTTTTCTTGAAATACAACATTATTCAGGTCGGTTGAGTTCAACAAATACTTATTAAGTGCCTATTATTTTCTGATATGTATTAGGAGATAGGCATAGAAAGTAAGATGTATTCTCCTGACCCAAGAAGTTGGGGAAACCAATAGGTAAACAAGAAATGTTTGAAGTAAAAAAAATATCAGTAACATTGTAGAATTTGGGGAATAGAATGGATTGGGATATTTCAGACATAGAGAAAAACATGTGAAAAGAGAAATGTGAAATAACATGTACATCTATGCGTTCAATTTATTCAACAAAAATTCATTTGAAACCTACTATTTATCAGGTACTGTTTTGGGGGGTTAAAATTTATCAATAAACTTAAGAAGACAAATATTCCCTGCCTTCTAAAACTTACATGTTAGAGGGAGGGGTAAAGGGGGGACATTGAGGCACTGACAAAAAATGATGAGCATAATAGGTAAAATATATATCCCGTGTGCAAATTAAATATGTGGAAAGGGTGCCTTAGTCAGTTTGGCTCAGGGATAGAGCGTCGACCTGCAGACTGAAGGGTCCCGGGTTTGATTCTGGTCAAGGGCATATGCCAAGGTTGCAGGCTCAATCCCCAGTAGGGGGCATGCAAGAGGCAGCCGATCAATGATTCTCTCTCATCATTGATGTTTCTATCTCTCTCTCCCTCTCCCTTCCTCTCTGAAATCAATAAAATATATTTTAAAAAATAAATAGGTGGCAAGGGTAAACCTCATTGAGAAGGTAACATTTGGGTGGCCTCGAAGAAGGTGAAAGGATTAGCCATGCAAATATGTGGGGGAAGAGGGTTCCAGACAGAGGGAACAGCCAGTGCAAAAATGCTAAGCAAGAATGCACTATGGTGGGTTAGAGAAACAGCAAGGAGGCAAGAGTGAAGAAGAGTGGTGGGAGATGATGTCAGAGTTAATGGAGGGCTGGGTTATGTGCTATGGAGGACCAGCGGGGTATTTGGTATGGCTGAGCACAGGGTGCAAGGTGGGGAGTTCTAGACTATGATATCATGAGGAGATATCATGAAGAGAATGGGGTACAATGCTAAGCCTTGGTTGTTCATGCAGGGGAGTAG